GCAGCAGAGAAGTATGGGAGGTAGGTAAAAGGAGCATTTGGACCAGAAAAGAGAGAAAGCAAGGGAAGAAGGTGAGGGTCATGGTGGGGCAACATGAGTGTGGAAGGGTGGAGGAGGGGTGTTCCGATGGGTCCCCAGCCCCTTCCCAACTGCCTGATAATTAACTCCTTAATTATCTCTGCATTTGCTGAGCTGGCAGAAGAAATAGATGCAGACAGATTGGGGCGCGTGTGATTTCACGCACGGGGAGCGAGAAGAGCTGCCTGGGAGTCCCAGGGGGCCTTGTCCCTCCTATGCCCTCCCCTCATCCCCACCCATCTCTGAGAGGCTGGAGAGTGCTTTTGCACCTAGAGCAGATGGGGCCATCTGCAAGAGAAGCATCCACAGGGAATTTGCCCCCATCAGCCTTTCAGGGATGATTGTCATGCTTGCCACTATTGATGGAACACATACTGTTTGCTAGGCACACATTGTTTTTATCAGCGTGGGCATTAGCTGGATTTTATGGTTTGTGGAGAAAGATGAGACTCAGATAGGCTAAGTTATTTGCTTAAGGCCACACAGCACTTGTGTGACAGAACGGATTTGAAACCTGGTCAGCAGGGTGCCAGAGTCCTGGGAGGATCCTGGCCAGATGCCTCTCTCCAGTGGAGAGAGAAACATCTTCAAGCCAGTTTCTCTTTTAGCCACCAGAGGAGAAAAGTTCTGAGGTCTGGAAACTGCAGGGGCCAGAGATAAGGAAGTATGGACAATAAACTGAGAAGAGGATGAATGAGCCAGGGTCTGTCAGGGCTTAGACAAGAGGCAGGTGGGCCCAGAGAAGCAGAAAGGAGCAGTGGGACACTAATCATAGTCCTTGAATCCCTCAAGTGTCATCTTAGTAAGACCCCGGCAGTGCCAACTTCTTTTTTTTTCTTCATCCAGGCCCCACAAAGCCCTGCCAGAATGACTGCCCCTCTGCTACTCTATGCTGGCAGAGCTGGTCCGTCCCTCTATTTCACCCTTGACCTTTGCATTAGAGTTATCTGGCAACATATTCATCTTTCATTTGCTACTGGGAAACTTTGAGGGCAGGGACTATGCCACTCCTCACCTTCTCCCCAGACTCCATTCTGGAGTTTGATACAGGAAAAGCCTCAATGGAGACTTGCTGCAATATATAGCACAGGGAGGGGGTATGCAGGAACCCACTTCATTTCAAAGGAAGAGAAAATTACAGCATGAGGGATTTAGGCTGAGTATAAGAAAGAACTTCTTAAGGCTGGGGGCTGAGATACTATGAAGGATTAACCCAGACCCACAAATTCTGAAGAGCTAAGTTCCCCCAAGATTGACTGCATTATAGAGGTCTTTAAAAGTTGAAAAAAGCTGGGCATGGTGGCACATGCCTATAATCTCACCAACTTGGGAGGTTGAGGCAAAAGGATCACAAATTTAAGGCCAGCCTAAGCAATTTAGTAAGGACCTATCTCAGAGAAAAGAGAAAAGGTGGAGAGTATTTGGGATATAGCTCAGTAGGAAAGCACCCCTGGGTGAAAATAAAGTTGGGAGTTCTGGGCCCCACCACTAGAGATTTGATTTAAGATGGGTCCATTGTATCAGCATTTTGAAAAGCTTCCCTGCGTAATTCGAATGTGTTGAGAAACACTGACTTAGACTCTGTCCTGATGTGGCTGCCTTGGCAGTTTTACCACCAGATCTAAATACTAATGCTTATAATAATTGTTATTTACTCTTGAGGATTTACTAAGTATAAGCCAATGTTCTAAACATTTTCCATGCATTATCTCGTGTAATTCTCAAAAAACCCTGTGAAATCAACATTCTCTTAATCTTATAGATGAGGAAACAGGCTCAAAGAGGTCAAGGGACCTGCCCATGCTAATAAATGGCAGGACCATGTCTAGGAGCTGAGATCCCTTGATTCATGCCTTTGATCTTCCCCCAAACTCCTCCTGAAGCTACTGTTGTCCTCAATCAGTCTTTGCCTGCCTCCACCTCACCTCATCACCTTCCCTCCACCCCCGCTGCTCCCTCAGTAACATCCCAAATGATTGAAGCAATTTGCAGCCATTAGAAGAAGCTCCAATGTGTCACTCAGCCTGTGAGGGTGGAAATGTGGAAGAATTACAGATGCTCTAAGATGATCCTCCCCTCCCCCTGAAGACATTTTGGGATTCAGGAATCAATTAGGTCCACTGCTTCCTCAGGTCCCTATATGGGACCCTCCCATAGGAATTCCCACTCCCAAATACCCTCAAGTGGAGTCTAAGTATCTGGGGGCGTACTGCCACCCAGTGGCTGCCCAAGGACACGACAGCCCTCCTGCACCTCCTGGTGCTGCTGGACAGCTCCTCAACCCAAGACCTTAATAGGAAATCCTTCCTCCCTTTCTTACAGCACCTCTGTGCCCAGGACCCTAGTAAGTGGATCCCCAACCTCCATAGTCTTAAATCCACACCCCATCTAGAGAGCTCCGACTTATTTACTGATTCCTCATGTGTTCCCTTCTCCTAACAACTCACAACTTCTCATCCAACTTTTTCCCACTGTGTCATCCCCTCCTCATTTCAGGTGCCTTCTTCCAACTTAAAACCCAGCATCAAGTCCTGGGGACCCGCCTCTCATCTTCCTTCTTGCAGAGCTGCACCAGCCTGTAAGAGTAGCAAAGGAGCCATTGAAGATACCATTCTGGTTCCCTGCACCCCCCTCATCATCTGACACCATCAGACCTCAACAGCCTCAGTGCTAAGAGCCCCTAATGAGCATCAGCAAATTAACAACTTCCCCTTGATTGCTCCTTCTCTGTTAATTGGATACAGAGGCCCCTCCCCCAAAGGCCTGTCAGAAAGGAGGAGGGAGGGAGGGAAAGAGAGCGGTAAGAGCTTCAGGAACAGACCCCAGGCCTGGGTTCAATACCCAGACTTCGGCTCCACTCCTAAGCCCAGATCCCCTTTGCCACGTTTTTCAACCCTGTACCCCTCTCATTCCCTTTCCCCCTTTCCTTACTTCTGTTCCAATTCCCTTGAGCTCTGGCTATTTCTTCTTCCTTCCATCTGCTCCTCCTTTAGAGATTTGGTAGTGAGGAGCTGCAAACATACCCCCTGCCCCCAGACAAGCCAGCTCTATAAGGATGGATTCTGGATGGCCAAGGCTGTGTGCTTGTTCACATATGTGCATGTATGTATCTATGTGTCACATGTAGGTGGGGAGCCGGGATAAGAAGAGGTGAGTGGATACGTGTAAGCCGCTGAGTGCTTGTCCTGTGGTCAGGCCTCTGGGTTGTGTGGACGTCTGTGATGTGTATCTGTATAGCTGTAAGTGGCATGCTATGACTCCGGTCTGAATGTGTCTATGTCTCCACACGGGCAAGTGCTTGAATCAGTCAAGTGTGACTCGGAGCTTGTGTGTGTGTACACGTGTGCGTGTGCCACCAGAGGAAGCAGCAGCAAGAGGCAGAAGCATCGATCCGAAGGAGACAACGCGGGGAGGGGGACGCTGGGGGCAGATACCCTCCTTCCTGCGCGCACACGCGCGCGCGCGCGCACACACACACACACACACATCACATAGTCACATAACAGGCCATAGGACCTCACAGGCAAGGAGACGGCTCCGGGACCAGAGGGAGGCAGCGTTGCCAAGAGCGGCGGGGAGGAGGGGACAAGCCAGCGCCTGGAGCTCTGCGTTCCGCTCCGAGGGCCAGGGGCCCCGAGCTCACACCGGCCCAGAGACACCCTCGCAGACACTCGTAGGCGCGCACGCGCACCCTCACCCCTCCTCCACCCCTCCCGCCGCCTCCGGGCCGGACGATGGATCCCTGCAGATCCCGGGGCTGAGAGCACCCGGCACCACGCACCGCGCCGAGCCCGTGCGGACCGAGCCGAGGCGAGCTAGCCAGCGAGCGCGCGCAGGCGGGCGGGCGGGCGGACAGATCAGAGCCGAGCCGGGTCGGGCGGGCCGCTCCCTGCAGGGTTCTGCGCGGCGTGCCGCGGCGGCCGCCCGCTCCGGCTCCGGGCCATGAGCCCCTCCGCGACTCGGCGCTGAGCCCACATACGGCCCCGCGCCCCAGGACCTGCCGCCGGCTCCTGGCTTCCAGAATCCCCCTCAGGTGGGTTTCCTATTCCCCCGCCGTTGGCCGCGGGGTTCCCCAGCGCCCAGAAGCGGGGACTCTCCTCCCCTCTACCTTTCCCCAGCGGCTGGGGAGGGTCGAAGGGTAGGGAGGGGGCGGGGGCCGAGCAGGGGATCTGACTGCGATGGGAAGCCCGACTGGAGGGGGGTGCGTTCGGGGCGGGGACAACTGACTGTCATAGGGAACCGCGCCCCCCCTCCATACATCCACCTCGGGCAACCCGCCACCCCCACCCCTCACCCCAAAGACAGACAGACAGACAGACACACACACACACACACACACACACGCCTGCGCCTACATAAGAACTGGAGACACCCCAGGTGAGTACTCAGGCTGGGCCCCTCCCCTTGTATACCCACCACCCTGGGGATTTTCTGGCCCAGGTTTAGCTCCTGGGAGGGAGAGCCCAGGATACCCTTGATCAGGAGAGGAGCTCCTGATCCTAGGTTTAGCCTATCTGGGGGAGTTTTATCTCCAGGATAGGTAGACATTCCTGTCCCAGAGTGACCCCACATCTCGAGGGAACTCCTGTGCCTTCCTTGGGAGCATCAAGACTTCCCTCTCACCCTTCAGTGACTATCTGGGGTCTCCTCTAGCCTAGAAAGATTCCCTGGGAGAGCATTCTCTTGGCCTCAGCTGACCCCCCAAGCCTCTATTTGGAGGAGCCTTGTCCTGGGACAGGTCCCTTAGCCAGACACTTCTCGCCTTGAACACTAGGGAAGTCTTCTGCCCCAGGAGCACTGACCTCTGGAGATGGGGATTCTGGATGGACACAGTTGGAAGGGCACCATGTGCACTCTTATCTCAGGACAATAGCAGACTCTGTCTTTTCCCTGTCCTCCCCACCAGGATCCCCTAGACAAGGATGGAACTGAAAGCCGAGGAGGAGGAGGTGGGTGGCGTCCAGCCGGTGAGCATCCAGGCCTTCGCCAGCAGCTCAACGCTGCACGGTCTGGCCCACATCTTCTCCTACGAGCGGCTGTCCCTGAAGCGGGCACTGTGGGCCCTGTGCTTCCTGGGCTCACTGGCTGTGCTGCTGTGTGTGTGCACCGAGCGTGTGCAGTACTACTTCCACTACCACCACGTCACCAAGCTCGACGAGGTGGCTGCCTCCCAGCTCACCTTCCCTGCCGTCACGCTGTGCAACCTCAATGAGTTCCGCTTTAGCCAAGTCTCCAAAAATGACCTGTACCATGCTGGGGAGCTGCTGGCCCTACTCAACAACAGGTGGGTGGCTCCCACCCACCCTTGCGCCCTGCTTATGAACATGGGGATTCTGAATGCACAGCTGGAAGGGCCCCATATGTGCTCTCTCTCTCTTTTTTTTATATTGGGGATTGGACCAAAGGATGCTTTACCACTGAGCTATATCCCCAATCCTTTTTATTTTTTATTTGAGACAGGGTCTTGCTAAATTGCTAAGGCTGGCCTCAAACTTGAGATTCTCCTGTTTTAGCCTCCTGAGTCTCTTGGATTGCAGATGTGTGCCACCACACCCAGCCCCATATGTATTCTTATCTCAGGACAGTGGCAGATTCATCTCTTAGTCAGGGTGCTTGCCTCTCTACCCTACCATAGAACCAGCCAACCCAGCCCTCTAGCCACCCCTCAAGCCTGCCACTCATAGCAGAGAAGTTGGGGCACTGCTGAGCACCTAATTAAGGCACCTAATCTCTGATTCCAGGATAGTCCAAAACAGTGCTACCATTACCCAACCTGAGTTAACATTGGTACTCTCTGGAGTGAGATTTTCCCTCCTTCCTGCCACTGTGTTCTGATCTCCTCATTTAGGACAGACCACCTTTAAAGGGTAGAGACTATATTATAAAAGCCATGGCTGCCACTTTATCCATGCTTCCTCTCACCCATGTACTGAGATGCCCAGATACTTCTGTCTTCTCAAACTACATGTGGCAGGCCCTCTAGACATGACCAGCTCTCCTTCTTTGCCTATCTATGCCCAGGGCTGATCCCGGGGCTGGATGCTATCCCCCACAAGCAAGGGATGGGCACTGGTGGTTGTGCTGATCCATGTGCCACTCACCCCCGGGCTCCAGGTATGAGATACCAGACACACAGATGGCCGATGAAAAGCAGCTGGAGATATTGCAGGACAAGGCCAACTTCCGCAGCTTCAAGCCCAAGCCCTTCAACATGCGTGAGTTCTATGACCGAGCAGGACACGACATTAGAGACATGCTGCTCTCCTGCCACTTCCGGGGGGAGGTCTGCAGCGCTGAAGACTTCAAGGTGGTGAGTCCTCTGCTGTGGGGTGTGTGTCAGCCTGGCCTTCAGTGGAGGAGGAGACAGGGAGCGGGCCAGGGCTCTCAATGCTTGCTGCTCTGGGAGAGAAAGTGTGTGTTTTGGGATTTGCTTCTGGAGTACATTTATACCATGTGAGGGCCTGAGCCACAACCTTGCACCCATTAAGGCAGGAAAGAGAACCTACAGTGAATATCATATACTCACACACACCACGCGTGCACACATGGCCAGGCATGGCCCTGAGCCCACTATTTACCTTCTGGACCACGGGTGTCAAAGTTAGGAGTAGTGATGGGTAAGTTACAACCTTGTTACTCAAAGTGAGGTCTGATAACTGTCACCTGAGAGCTTGAAAGAAATATAGTACCTTGCCACCCCACTTCCCAGACCTACTGAATCAAAATCTGCATTCTAAAAAGGTCCCAAAGTGATGTGAGTATACAGTAAGTTTGAGCATTGTGAAGTATGGGGATTAAGGGAAGCTTCCCTTTAAATAGCCAGACAGGTCCAGGTGTGGTGGCACATGCCTATATCCCAATGACTAGGGAGGCTGAGGCAGGAGGATTGCAAGTTTAAGGGCAGCCTCAGAAACTTAGTGAGTCAGGCCTTCAGCAACTTAGCAAGGGATTGGGGAGGTAGCTTAGTGATAAAGTACCACTGAGTTCAATTCCTTAGTATCCTTAGTACCAAAAAAGGAAGAAAAGAAATAAGTAATTTTCTCTGTGTCATTCTCACCCTCACCCCAACCTCATATACACATGTGCACACACACACATACACACACACACACAAGCTGTCCAGTTAGGTATCCCCCTTGCCAGCAAGAGCCACAGAGCCAGAGTCAGAGGTAATCAGGATGAAAATGGAAATGCCCCACAAATGCTTGCACAGATGTGATGGCCTCAGGTCAGTACCTCAGGTGCTAGAAAATTGACTTTGGCATCTGATGTGCTAGGTTATCCTAGGCAAGTCACATATATTCTTTAGGGTAAAGATCCTCACAGAGAAGCCAGATGTGGGGGTTGCATTTTTGAAATCCCAGCTACTTGAGCGGCTAAAGTAAAAGGATTGCTTGAGCCTAGGAGTTGGAGGCCATCCTGAGAAGTATAATGAAACTCCCAGATCAAAACCAAACAGCTAGCTGGGCACAGTGGTACTCATCTGTAGTCCTAGAAGGAGCTTGAGGAGCTTGAGGAAGGAAGATCGCAGGTTTAAGGTTAGCCTGGGCAATTTAGTGAGACCCTATCTCAAACTACTGAGGATGTAGTTCAAGGGTAAAGCACCCATGGGTTCAATCCTAAGTACCAAAACAAACAAACAAACAAATGAAAAAAAAGATACACACAGAAGCTGGAAAGAGGCCAAAGGACCTGGAGGCATCTATAAATAACTATAATCCCAAATGGAAGGACAATGTTTGTAACTCTTCAGAATGCTTGCTATGCTCTCCCAATCCCTTTGATAAATAACCGTATTATCTGTGTTTTACAAATTCACAATCTGAGATACAAAGCAGTAGGATAATTTGCCCAACCTCACTAGCTGATTAATGACAGATTCAGGATTGGAACTCATGTCTCATTAAGTACTAGTGCAGTGTGCTTTTCTCATTAGTGTTGCTGAACCTGAATTTCTCCTGTCCACCTCCAATTCTGGCATTGCTCTTTCAAAACCCAGGCTCGGGGCTGAGGTTGTGGCTCAGTGGTAGAGCTCTTGCCTTGCACATGTGAAGCACTGGGTTCGATCTTTAGCACCACATAAAATAAATAAATAACTAAAACAAAGGTACTGTGTCCATGTTCAACTAAAAAAAAAAATTAAAAAAACAAAACAAAACAAAAAAACAGTCTCCCCAGGATCCCCTGCTCTCATGCCTCCTCCTAATTCTCCATTCTCAGATCTTCCCCTTTCTCCCAACCCATTTCCTCCCCGACTTCCTTGCTTCCTTCTAGCATTAAGGAAACATAGGCTGCATATGTTTACATAAAAAGGTTAGAGCCATGATCATATGTAGTGTTTCCTGCTGAGGTTACACAGGCTTCCCACTCTCTTGTTTGTTTGTTTGGTACTGGGAATTTAACCCAGGGGCACTCAATCACTGAGCCACATCCCCAGCCTTTTTTATTTTTTCTTTTGAGACAGTGTCTCTCTAAATTGCTCAAGGCCAGGTTAAATTGCTGAGGCTGGCTTTGAACTTGCAATCCTCCTGCCTCAGCCCCAGAGTGGCTAGGATTATGTGTGTGCACTGCACCTGGCACTTCCCAATCTCTTTAAGTCCTGTTCTGCAGACCAGTTTCATGGGCCTTTGTCAGTCCTGTTGGACAGGGGTTATATGACCACACTCTATTCTTTGCTAAGCCAAGCTGAAAGGGAACTTAGCCCAGGTACAAGAGCACTTCCTTCTCTTTTCCTTCTTCATAACAGGAGAATCCTAGATTTCCCAGAGCTTCAGACCAGAGGGTTCCTAAGCTCACAAACTTTGTTACAAGAAACCTAGAACTGGACTGGGGTTATGGCTCAGCAGTAGAGTACTTGCCTCGCACGTGCAAGGCCCTGGGTTTGACCCTCAGCACCAATAAAATAAACAAATAAAATAAAAAGTTATAAAAAAAAGAAAGAAAGAAACCTAGAACTATAGGTGAAGGTGGAAGCAAAATTCAGAATCCTACCCTTCTCCAACATACCCAAGATACAACAGAAGGGACTACCAGGAAAGAGAAAACCTATCAACTGGATGGTTTATAATGTTGGATATAGGAGGGAAGTGCTTCACTAGACTTGGGAAGGTGTTAAGGTATAAAGTTGGAATACTGTTAATCCAGAGAAAGTATTCAGTTGAATATCCATTTGTCTGTCATGTCCAGAAAAATTTCAAGTGGCAATGCTAAGATGTTTGGTTCATAGTAATGGAGATACTAAACTGTAATTGGTCCATGTTGTCTGAGGGGGAAAATTCCAAGCAGTCAGATGGAGATATGATTGGTTCACAGAGTCCTGTAGCAATCTGAATTCTTCCTTCTCCTGAGGAAAAAACCTACAGGGTAGCGCTCTGCAGGTCCAACTGTGGCACTTGTTGATTCTGGGTTGTAAGGGAAGATCAAGTTTTTTTGTTTCTCAGTCCATGTATCAAAGACCTAACCCTGGTCTGGCTGGACCCAAAATCCTCAGCCTATCCTTCTACCCTTTCTGGTTGCCCTCAATGCCAGCCCTTTTCTATGTCAAGAGTTCTACCACTTCTGCTTGTATGGATATTTCTACACAAACAGGAGTCTGGTTTTGAGTACCTGTCTAACATCTCCGAGGTGAGAAGGGACTGACAGGCCTTCTTCTCTGGATCCCCAATCCTAAGGGATTCACACATTCTTTGCTTTGTGTTCCACCCTCTCTCCTCTCCTTGGTCTCATAATTAGCATGTTTCCTCATTCATGCCATTCTCTGCCAGGCTCAGATATCGGGATGTGAATCTAGCCTCTGAATAAGTGTGGCACTGGCAGAAATCATCTGATTATAGGGTCAGAGTTTAGGGGAGACTGTCTTGGCATCTTCTGCAGCCTTAATAGCAGAGGGCCTTAACTGGGGGTCCCTTGCTCAAAATGTTTTCAAAATACAGTATGCATGGGCACATGCAGACTCTTCTGTGATGTTTCCAAGGGCAACACTCACCCAAACAGTAAGAACTCGCTCCAGAAGAATGTTTTGAGAGATAATAGAGGATATCTTCTCTGGTCCCCAAAGACCCCAGCTTCCTTGATGAGAATCTGTAGTAACATTTTCCCAGATTTGCTTTGAAATCCAGCTCAATCTCAGGGAATAGGGGTCACAGACTGTTGGACCAGTGTCCATCCCCCAGGTGTGGTTAATTGTGGGGAACCTGAGCTAAATCTGGGAGAAATGAGTTGGAAATCCTTTGCGAATGGGGGGGGTAGAGGGAAGTAAGGGAAGTATCCCCAAGCAATCCCTTTGGGTGGGCCTCAGTAGCTCCCTCCTGAGCTACCAAAAGAGCCAGAAAGCCCAACCACAAGGACCCCTCTTTCTGGGCCACCTCCTTTTCTTCCCAGTGGGGTGTCTGGTTGCCAGGGCAACAGGGTCTGAGGCTCCTTTCCCACCTTGAGGCTAGCCAGGCCAATGCAAGGCAGGGGTCCTATGGAGGGGGGCCAGGGGCGCAGATGTCTGCTGGTGTATGGGCGGGGGCTGGGGAGTGAGCACAGTCGCAGCTGGTGCCAGCCTCCAGCTGCACCTTATCTGTCCCTGGCAGTGGGAGCAGCGATGTGGCTGGAATGCTGAGCAGCATGGAGGGGAGGGGGCTGGCAGATGGTTGCCCAGTCTGCCCTATGCCACCCCCCTCCTTCCAGCTGAGACCCAGAGATTTTGCCTGGGTTGTGGGGATGATGAGAGAAGCAGGACTGCATGTCTGGACCTTGAAAGAGGACTAGGAGGGTAATCAGTGCAAATTGTCAGGATGGGGGGTATTGTAAGAACTGCAATCTTTTTAAAAGGGCATGGAACTGGGGGACAAGAATCCAGAGGGGACAGAGGAGTACCCCAGGACCCTGGAGTGAGGGGCAGAATCTTCCAGAGAAAATGTGGAATAAAGGGGGTGGATGCAGGGGGCGGGGGCAGGAATCTCCTGGAGCACCTAAAGAGGCGAGATACTGACACAAGAGGCTATGTGGTTGGGTGATCCTAGGGTCCCGTAGGGAAAGAGAAAGGTCATCAATAAAGTAATCAGAGCCAGGGATGTCAGGGCCCAGGGCTGTGCCCTTCATTGACACTCCTCACCCCCATCCCTACCCCATAGTAGCTCAGACCAAGATTCAAGAAGGCCCAACCTTATTACCTGGTCCTGTTCTCTCTTGCTAAGCAGAGGGCGTAGGAGCTGTGGAGGGGAAAGGCTACTGTTTGGACTGCAGTGCAGAGAGGAGGACCTGACTACCCTACCCTTGGGTGTGGTGGTTTTCAAGGGGGTGATTTGGGAGGGGAAGATGTGC